TATATATATAATTCAAACATACAATAGTATATTTAAATCTAGTAAAAATTTAATTAAAAAATTAAAAAATAACCAAAATGCAAACTATATTGAATGTAATATATTTATATTATTAAAATAATTTTGAACAATTATTTTAAACATTCAATATGTATGTATCTTTTTTTTTTAAATTTTTCTATATTGAATAACGCAGTCAAGGTTGGATAAGTCAACGTTTTTTTTTAAATTAAATTAAGTTAAAGTTAATGGTTTATAAAATTAAGTTAAAAATTTAAGAAACAAAAATTAAATTAGTAAGAATTAAATTAAGATAGAATTAACTTAAGTTTAAAAAAAAAGTTAAATTTGAAAAAAATTATTTTTGAGATCAGTTCATCCGTATGTCTTATAATTTTTCTTAAAATGAAATTAATGTAAATAAAAATTGCAATATAGGGGGGGGGATTATTAGATAAATTTAATTTTTTTATTCACATATAATTTATTTATAGTAAGGGTAACGCATAGCCTTTTTGTCTACTTCTGAGAGAAAAGGGGATATATTTGCACTCTCTTCAATCTAACTTGTTCTGAAATACACTATTTACTACGACTATATTGACTAGATATTTGTTACAAAAAATATATGTAAAAATTTAGAAAATGGATATAATAACACTGTTTTACAATAATTCTTCATCTGAAACTCATTTTATATTTATGTTGCTGAAATGTAATATTATAGCATCTAAAATTCATATGAGTCAAATAAAAGCGAGAATTAATAAAATCTAGCTAGCCAATCAAATCTGAAAATATGGCGAGACTTATTATACAGGATCTCTATACACAAAATTATTGTTGCTTTTTCTAAATTAATTCTCTGATGTTTAAGATTTTATAGAAAAAATATTAGTATTAAAAAAAATTTAATAAAGTTAATAAATTAAATTTTGAAAATAATTATAAATTAAGTTAATAATTAATGCATTTATAAAATTAATGAAGTTAAGTTAAAAGTTATTAACATTGTAACTTCTTTTTAACTTTTAACGTTTTATCTAAGTGCTAACCCTTGGATGCGTTAACGTCGCGACGCCAAGTACATAAAATATGAAATGGGTCGTTTGCTTGATTTATAGCATCAGCTTGATGCTTTGTCATTGAATAATGCTTAATTCAATTTTGTTAAACGGGCCGGATTTCAAACGCATGCGCGTTCAATGTAGCTTACCGCGTCCTGGAGTAACTTACCGGTCACTAATAAATAGGAGACATTAGTCGCTTAGAGATGAAAATTTTAGTATATTTTACATATTTTATATACATATACATATATATAATATTATAT